AGATATGAACAGTATTTTCGAGGTTAAAAATGGTAGTTCAGCCTGAACGACAGATGAAGGTAAAAAATTACTGTAGCAAGAACATTATTTATGGGGAAATACTCAGCACATCGCTAGCAGTAAGTTTAAGGAACGAACAAAGTGGACTTCTGGAACATGCTATAAATATCTACAAGTGTTGTAGCCCAACATAACTTCTCATTGATGGAAGTTCTATCTTCTCTCATTTAATAATTGTAATTGTGCCTTCTCCTGGAATAGAAACATCATTCGCAGATGGTTGCAGATTCTTTTTTCTTTTAGGATGATTTGAAATATTTTCTTATTTTCATCTTTATTAATGATTCGATCTCCTTTGGAATAAAAAGTAAAAGCACCATTAATTTGTTGGTAACCAGTAATGTATGTATTTCTTACATGATTCTGAAAATTGGTAGCAGAATGTGGACAATGCCTGAAGCAAAAGATATCATCAGGACAACTGGGACTGGAGAAAATAAGATGAAGCTTGTTTCTAGCGATTGCAATTCACGAATTGTGAGAATCTCGGATTTCTTAATATTTTTTTTGGTTCAAAATTTTTAATTCTTCAATATGGATTTGCTTCCTCAGCTACATATTGGTATCAAAATAGCTCATAAGTTGAACATTTATTTTTGGTCTCTCCTATTGCCAGATGACTGAAATGCAAGAGCCTAAGAGCATCATAGGAAAAGCTCCCAAGACCCATACTACTATACAGTAAGTACAGTTTCATTATCTATAGAGGAAATTCTCATTTGTGCATGCTAGGTAGCAATAAAGTTCGAGCATAGAAGCAGTAAAGGCTGAAATTATGGACCACCTTATGAGTGGCAAGTATACAAGTAAGCATTCTTATGCTTGTTTCCTGAATTATGGTTGGTAGCCTAATAACAGAACTTATGTGATGTACATTCATTTATGCAATACCCTTGGCTTTTCTTCATGGGGTACCTCGTGTTTATTACAAGGGTCGCCAAGGGGACTATTATGTCATGGTAACTGATAATAAACGTCCTAGTTATGGATTTCTTTCGTATTATGTTTATATATATGTTGCTATGATCACCCCGTTATTTGTATAGGTGATGGATATGTTGGGAGTCTATGGGATGTTTGGTATGGGATGTTTGGAATAATAACTCCTATGCATGAGTATTTGAACCTCTTTTGTGAATTTCTTAAGTTACTGTTTGTGTAAGTATGTAATCTTGACTGTTTCTCTTTGCAGAATGTCAACAGAAATGGTTGCTTGTATTGCTATTGAAGCAATCTCTATTTTAGAGAAGATGCATTCTAAAGGGTAGGCCTGCTCTTTACGCTATGAAGATGCAGAATCTCAATTTATGTAAAAGTTTGTAAACAATTTATGTATCTCTCTACTATTTTGGTGAATGTATTATTTGAATATAATGTGATAAATATAATTAGATTGTGTTGGATATGAATATAATTTTTTGTTGTTCAATATTGTGTACATACACCTAATATAGATTCTGCAAAAAAAAAAAAAAAAAAAAAAAAAAAAAAAAAAAAAAAAAAAAAAAACTACTGTAGCATAGTATCCTAGACGGAAATTCCGTCTAGGATACTCAAATTCCGTCTAGGATGTTTTTTTAAAAATAAAAAAAAAATAAAAAAATAAAAAATCAATATCCGTCTAGAATAAGTATTCTAGACGGAAATTTCCGTCTAGAATACTTATTCTAGACGGAAATTTTTTCCGTCTAGAATACATTATTCTAGACGGAAATTCCGTCTAGAATAATCCGTCTAGGATGTATTTTAGACGGTTTTGAATTCCGTCTAGAATATTCCGTCTAGAATGTATTCTAGACGGAATTTTCGTCTAGAATAATGTATTCTAGACGGAAACATCCTAGACGCCTATTCTAGACGGAATTCCGTCTAGAATAAGCATTCTAGACGGAATTCTGAATATCCTAGACGGAAAATTCCGTCTAGGATACCTTATTTTTTAGCAGTGTCTTGTATACCAGAAGATATAGGTACTAACTGTAGGGTGCTCCAAGTTAGTTAGAGATTTGGTTAAATGGTTTCCTACATTTGACATTGAGACAATGTCTAATGTAAGGGGAGGGAATTGTCAGGAACTGGAGTTCAGCCGACTGAAGGAGAAGAATCAACCGACTGAGTAGATCGACTGAGGAAACAGGGCTGATACACGAAGTGGACTGAGGAAGAGAATACTGTTCTAGTTAGTTTCAGTTACAACAGTTTAACTGATTCTACTTTTTTAGTTAAACTGTTTGTGCACGTTTTGTTTTCTAAGCTTTGATATTGGGTTTGTATAAAGGGGAAGATGTAAACTGAATGAGATATCAGGAATAAAATAGAACTCTGTTCTTCTCCTCAAACTCCAGTCTCTGTTCATCTTCTCCCTCAATTCTCTCTCAACTATCTCAATTTTTTTCTTCTTAAAGTTGTTTCAGGTTCAATGATGGCCAGAAGTAGCACCATGAGGATGAATCGAGGTTTCGATACCTCACAGGAAGCTTCTTTGCTTCTTTAGTTTTAGATTAATGTAGTTAAGGGAACAAAAGAAAACCAAACCTTTTCCGGCCTCCGGCGTCATCTCCGACTGTTTCGGTGATATTCGATGATCTCTGAACAATCATCGATCAAGGCTCTCAGTGGAGGTGGCCACAGCAGTCACGGAACCCAATTGGGTTCAAAGCAGACAATGAACAGAGGAAGGAGAAGAAGAAATAGAAAATTTATTAAAGCCCCTTGGGATAGAATATGTTGCTATTAGGTCCAATGTTTGGTTTAAATAAAGAAACACAGAAACAAAGTTTCAGAAACCCTGTTAGAATCAGAAATATTGGTTCTACGTTAGAAATAGTTTTGACATCCTTTATACTGGAAAATTTATACATATGTTTATAGGCTTCACCGAGGAGTAGGGTTCTTAGAGTATGGTTTTCTAAAGGGTGATCAAATCTTTTAAAGTAACTAGATTTCTTCTCATTAGTTGTTTTGACACAAAAGTGATGTATAGATTATATGTTATAATGATAGTTTTGTAGAATAAAAGTTGGATTAGACATGTTATGCTTTGTTCTCATATAAAGAAAAAAAATTAAAAGATTTTGGTATTATGATTTATTTATCTTAAGTGATAAATTTAAATTAATGTGATGGTAATTTATTGAAAATATGTTGTCAAACAAATTTATCATTCATATGAAAGTTTCTGAAGAGTTTATATTTGACAAAAATATTTATTTATTTTTATTCATGAATGTCCTATTTTCATGAAAGTTGACATGAGAAAAGTTTACAAAATATTTTAGCATTTATATTGCTTTCATACAAGTAACAATTGTAATAAATATTGTGTATGAAAAGAATGTATTTTTAGATGTTAAAAATCTTCAGAAGTCCATTATGAAATGAAGTAATTTGTTAAGCCTATCATATGGTATTGAATGTACCGACAATGTTAAAGTGGCTTTTTTTGGCAAAAGTGAAGTAGTATTTGGGCAATACATGGTAGTAGTAGGTACATTCTTCCCTGAGTTGACTATAGTGATTGATGTGCATTCCCATGCTACTGGACAATAATTTTTATAGCCTTAGGGTGACATATGAGAAAGTTTTATAAATGTGATTTTTAGATCGAAATTTATTTATTATTTAAAAGTATTTAGTGCTAATTCGTATTGTTTTCTAAATTTTGTGAATGTTCTTTTATGACACTGTCACATGCTATTCATGAAAGTTTATTTTGTTCGAAATTATTTGTTTTCCAAATTGTTCTCTCTGACAATAGCTTATTTGTATTTAATATTGATGATTTTGTAAACTTGTCTGATTCGCTAATGATAAGTTATATGCTCACTAAGTTTAAGCTCTCCCCAATATTTTAAAATCTTTTTTAGATGAAAATTGGATAACTCTCTCTATAGCTTTGAGTTTTGGGACATAAGAAGGATTTGCTAGAGAGTGGCTCTATGATAAGATTCCATAGTTATCTAGAGTTGTTTGATGTTGATGTAATAAGAGCTTTGACTCATTAGAGTGAACTTTGTTGGATAGTGGGAGAGTACAAAGGGAACACATGAAGAGATAGCCACCACGTGAAGAGATAATTTGTTTCAAAGCAAGTGGGGGCCACAAAACGTGTGAGGAAGCACTAAGAGAAGTCCAGCGTTCTCAATCAACCGCGTGAAGAGATCAAAGAGCGTGAGAAGTTTTGTTCAGCGGATTTTCTTAGGATCCACCCGATTGACCATTCAGTGCATATAAATACCCAGTAGGTTGTTCTAGGGTTTTGTGTGAAGAAGAGGGGGTGCAGGTACAGCAAAGGCAAAAAACAGAGGCTCTTTTTGGCGGCGTGCAAGGCTTTGGCAGGGTCTTGGACTGCGTGCAACAGGAGAAATAGAGGCCTTTTTTGGCTGTTTTTTGTGAGAGGTTTGAGAGATTGTGTGAGGGTTTAGATTGTGAGATTATAAACCCTAGTTGTATTCTCTCCCCTCTAATAGTAGATCTCCCCCCCTCCTTGCCCCGTGGACGTAGACAGTTTGCCGAACCACGTAAAACTTGTGTGATTTGTGTTTGTGACAATTGTAATAGTTTTTAGGATCGCTCAACAAGTCAGTCCTAGAACTGATGAGAGGAAGAGCCGATATCTTACTTTGTTGAGATATTCGCTTCAGATTCTTGTTTCTTTGGTGAAATGAGAATTCTTATTGATCTTTCTCTCTTATTGTGCACCAGAAACTCTGCCAAAATTTTCGTTGCGCACAACAAGTGGTATCAGAGATCGGGCTACGCTTGGGCTATTTAGAGGAGTAGATCAATTTAAAAGCTCGTCTAGGGCTTTGTTTGGTGATAAAGGTAGGATCCTTTGGTAAAAGACTCTATCTTTTCAGTTTTGGATCTATTCTTTGTTCGTTGGTACGTTAAGAAAGATGTCGGGGAAAGAATGTGCTTCGGGTATCGAGGGTGATGCTTCTGGCGTGAAAACCATTCAGAGTTTGAATATCCACTCTATGAAGATAGATGTGGAGAAGTTTAATGACACAAATAATTTTGGATTATGGAGATGCGAGATTTTGGATGCGCTGAACGCGCAGAATTTGGAGGATACCTTAGAATTAGATGGCAAGCCAGATGATATTAAAGAAAAGGTTTGGAAGAAGATGAATCGAATGGCGTGTGGTGTGATTAGGTCTTGTTTGACTTAAGATCTAAAATATGATGTGATGAATGAGACTTCTGCAAAGAAGATTTAGGAGATTCTCGAAAGCAAGTATCTGATAAAGAGTGTTGAGAACCGCTTGCATTTGAAGAGGAGGTTTTATCGTTTCCAGTTGAAGAAGGGAACCCCAATTAGAGATCACATGAACACCTACACAAAACTTCTTACGGATTTGGTAAATGTGGATATCACGATTGAAGATGAGGATAAGGCGTTACTGTTGTTTAGTTCCTTACCCGACGAGGAATATGAGACCTTCGTCCTTACTCTGATTAATAGGAAGACATCTCTTTCGTATAGTGAGGTCACTGCTGTACTGGTGAATTATCAGCTTCGGAAGAAGGATAAGGAGACTTTGACTGAGTCGGTAGCAGAGGCGTTGGCCGCAAGAGGGAAGGGTCCAAACCAAAAGAATTGGAAGTCACAGTCTAGAGTAGGACATCCTACAATTGGAAAAGATCAGTGTGCTTGGTGTAAGGAGACTGGTCATTGGAAGAAAGATTGCCCAAAGCTCGACGAATGGATAAAAAATAAGCAGAAGGGAAAAGGGAAGCAACCACCATCAGAAGCAAACATCGTATCGGATGGTAATATTTCTGACTTTTCTATTTATTCGCTTTCTATCAGTCCTACATGTAGCTATTCGGAGGAATCCGAGTGGATGTTGGATAGTGGTGCGACCTATCATGTGTATCTTAGAAGGGAATGATTCTCTAGTTTTGAGAAGCTGGATAGTAGTGTGGTGTACATGGCTGATAACCATGCATACCATATCCTTGGGATAGGAAGAATTCACATTAAGATGTTTGACGGGACTGTTAGAGAGTTAAATGATGTGAGATATGTTCCTTCCTTAAGGAAAAACTTGATTTTGATTAGAGCTTTGGTTAGAGAGGGTCTGAATGTTCGAATTGAGGACATGGTTCTCAAGATTGTGAAAGACTCTCAGATTGTGATGCTTGACTGGAGGTATAGTGGCAGGTGGAGAACTGACGACTTCTATTGATTCGACTAGACTGCGGCATTTGAGGCTTGGCCATTCCAGTAGTGATTCCTCGTATAGATTGAAAGAGGGTACGAAAACCTGCAATTTGAAGTCCAGTGAACATGTTGATGTGAGCAAGAAGACCAATGTGAAGTTTAGCACCTCTATTCACCGAGCTAAGGGTCGTTCTAGAGGAGTTCACGTGGATGTTTGGGGGCCTTCCAAAGGGGCATCATTGGATGGTAATAGGCGTTGATTTCCTTTATTGGTGGCTGTTCTATGCGTGTTTGGGTTGCAACCAAATCCCCTTTGGAGAAAGTCCTAGTAGTATCCAACAGATTGAAGAAGTGTGTGATAGACAGAAAGGTGAAGGTACTCCATTCTGTTTTTGATAGGAGGTACAAGATAGACCTATTTCTGTATTGGAGCCGAGCTCACGACATTTCGAGACACTTCGTTGGAAAGGAAATCTTGGGACAACTAGATAGGGTGGCAAATTTGGAGAACCGTGCCTTGCTGGAGGAGGATCGGTATATGTGGTCAAGCAATAGTTTGCAGAAGAGGTTCTGGATAGAGGCTTCGACATATTTGAGTCATCCTATTAAAGAGTTATCAACTACTATGATAGGAGGTAAAACTCAATTAGGTGTTTGGTCTGGTAGTGTCACTACGGTTGAGGCTTCAATGAGGAACCTAATTAATTCTCAGTAGGTGGAGAGTTTTGGACAGACCTTAGATGTATCGTAGCAGGCGGAGAGTGATGCTACTCCATATTGGGTGAAGATTACTCCAGATCATACTGTATTGTTTGGGATTCCAGATAAGGTGACACAGCTTAGGGATCATTTGGATTTGGGTGCAGATAATGAGTTAGGTTTTGATTCGAGTGCAGCTGGCAAACATAGTTTGGATATGGCCATTGGTTCGCCTCAGGTGGAGGTGTTTGAGGCCATTGGAGGTGCTATCAGCCGCATAATTGATGATATTGGAGAAGGGTTGTGAACTCTTCTATTGGATTGTGGTCATTCGCGGCCATTTGGTGAACTACATTCGGCTTGATTCCTTGGGCAAGAGGATACGTAGGCAGTCTTTATGATGCAGCTGGGTTAGATTTTTGATGGTGGTGAGATCGATTTGGTGAGTAGATATCGACGTTTGGAGAGTGGTTACATTCTCATTTGGGTTCTAGACTTGTTGTGGATTGAGTCCGTTGTCGTGAATTATTTCACGACGTCCTGAACACAACAAGTGGGACATTTATATTCGTTGGTGTCGGCTCAGTTTTGGAAAAACTTCGCCGAGGTGGAGAATTGTTAGATAGTGGGAGAGTACAAAGGGAACACGTGAAGAGATAGTCACCACGTGAAGAGATAATTTGTTTCAAAGCAATTGGGGGCCACAAAACGTGTAAGGAAGCACTAAGAGAAGTCCAGCGTTCTCAATCAACCACGTGAAGAGATCAAAGCGCGTGTGAAGTTTTGTTCAGCGGATTTTCTTAGGATCCACCCGATTGACCATTCAGTGCATATAAATACCCAGTAGGTTGTTCTAGAGTTTTGTGTGAAGAAGAGGGGGTGCAGGTACAACAGAGGCAAAAAACAGAGCCTCTTTTTGGCGGCGTGCAAGGCTTTGGCAGGGTCTTGGACTGCGTGCAACATGAGAAATAGAGGCCTTTTTTTGGCTGTTTTTTGTGAAAGATTTGAGAGATTGTGTGAGGGTTTAGATTGTGAGATTATAAATCCTAGTTGTATTCTCTCCCCTCTAATAGTAGATCTCCCCCCTACCCCGTGGACGTAGGCAGTTTGCTGAACCACGTAAAACTTGTGTGATTTGTGTTTGTGGTCATTGTAATAGTTTTTAGGATCTCTCGATAAGTCAGTCCTAGAACTGATGAGAGGAAGAGCCGATATCTCACTTTGTTGAGATATTCGCTTCAGATTCTTGTTTCCTTGGTGAGACGGAAATTCTTATTGATCTTTCTCTCATATTGTGCACCAGAAACTCTGCCGAAATTTCCGTTGCGCACAACAAACTTATTATACTGTAGTTTTTTGCTCTGAGACTTCTATATGAATACACTTTGTTTTATGTCAAATTTTATTTGTAAAATAGAAGTACACAACAGGTTTAGCATGTGCTTTCACGTGTTGTCTTCAAAATATATTGCGCGTGTTGAGGGCATAATAGTCACTACCCTTGTGTGAATGGTTCACATTCATTCAAACATATAAAATGAGCAATTATGTTACTGTTGATCAGCAAGGGCTGGCTAAAAATCGTTAGTTAATTTTAAAAAAAAAGCAGGAGATGCAACACCCTGTTATCTGCATGAGTATTTTTTTCCCCGAGAAAATTTATCTGCGTGAATATTGCTATTGATTTACATAAACAAAACCTATACATACATCCTTTTCTTCTTTAATGCAATCTCAGCTCTTAGGTCTCCTCCATTCAAATTTGGCGGGCGACTAGAAAGACCTGCAATTGGTCAACAGACTTCTTTGGCCTTGAATGCCCAACTCATCGTTTCCTCCACTAATCTAATATCTTTCAAATTTGGCGGGCGACTAGAAAGACTTGGTCAACAGACAAGTTCTTTGGGCTTGAAAGCCCAACTCATTGTGTCTATTTGGGAGTTTTTTTAGGGTTAGAGGATGGAATTAAATTTTCTTCCATTGTACTCCCCTCCATTTTAGGGGGGTTAATGATGGAATTGAAACAAATGTAAAAGTTTACAATATGATAAGACAAGTATACCCTTATGACATTAAAATCAATGGCTAACATATACTTCTGTCACATATGTAAGAGTATTTATGTAACTGTATGCATATTCACTTTGCTTCCCCTCTTTATTAGAAGAGGGGTGTTACGGACACACCCTTGGGCACACCACCAACCACACTCCCCCTCTATCTACGGTGCAGGGGATGTGATTTTTTTTTAAAAAATCACATGTGGGGCCCCTGCACTGTAGATAGAGGGGGAGTGTGGTTGGTGGTGTGTACAAGGGTGTGCCCCTATCATTTCTTTTATTAGAACTCCCAAACAAGGTAAAACAAATATACTTCTGTTCCCCTCACTAAACTCCCAAACGTTATATTATCTTTTCACTTCCATTCCCAACCTTTCATTTCCATTATTTAACTGTCCGTCCCTTACCTTAGTAAACTCCCAAACAAAACATAAGAGTACTTTACTTTGACCTTTTCAAATCCATTAATAATGAGCCTAGTAAAGCTTCTTCTTTCTTCTCTCATCGCCGCTGCAGCAGCAGCAATCAGCACTTCTGCTGCAGTTCAATACTCTGTCATCAACAATGCTGCCGGGACTCCTGGTGGAGACATATTCAACAACCAGATAGGCGTCAGTTACACGAGCGGAGTCCTCTCTGACTCCACCAGCTTCATATGGACTATCTTCAACCAGAACGTTGATTCAGAGCGAAAGAGCGTGGACCACGTAACCCTCATCGTCAACAGCTTCAACGGAGTCGCTTACACTTCCAACGATGAGATCCACGTGAGCTCAGATTACATCGCTGGCTACTCCGGCGACGTGAAGGGAGAGATCACGGGCGTCCTGTACCACGAGATGACGCACGTGTGGCAGTGGGACGGGCAAGGGAAGGCACCAGGGGGTTTGATCGAAGGGATAGCGGATTACGTGAGGCTAAAGGCGAATTATGTACCGTCTCACTGGGTGAAGCCTGGGGAGGGGCAGAAATGGGATCAGGGGTATGATGTTACTGCCAGGTTTCTTGATTACTGCGGTAGTGTGCTTAGCAGTGGTTTTGTGGCGCAGCTTAACGCCAAGATGAGGGATGGGTATAGTGATGATTTCTTCATGCAGTTGCTCGGCAAGGGTGTCGATCAGCTGTGGAGTGATTACAAGGCCTATTATGGTAAACAATGATCATGGTAATCAGGGCACTGTACGTGATATCACCCGTATCTACTAGGTTTTATATGATAAATAAATAAGTGAGGTGAACACATTATCCCCCCGTCTACTTAATTCCTCTTCATAAAATTTTCTGTCGATTTTTCAGTGCAAAAGATCGATGTAATAGCTGCGGTTAAATTTGGGCAAGATACGTAAATGTTTGTGTTCTTAAATAACGACCTGAGTAGGCGAAGCAAAGCCAAAATGTTTGTAGCAATAATATCAGAAAGAAGCAGTAAAACAAGCCCAATCAGAAAAAGAAAGATCGTAAAAGCTTAATTTCTTATATTTCCTACAAACGAAGAAGAGATTTTCCATTGACCCATACCAACATCAGCCATAAAATTAAGGAGTAAAAACCATTAATTGGCAAGATAGTTTTATGTCATACTGGGAATTGAAGACGTGCGCGTGCAGCTCTGAGGTTTGCGGGATGAATCTCGCAAGATGATACCATGCACGGAGAAACCGGTAATTAAACAGAGCCCTAAATGACTACACGCAAGATGATATACTAAACAATTACCTCTAAATTATTAATCGCAATATGCAATTTTCACAAAAAACAATTGAATTAGGGAAACTCAATGAACAGAACCGCTAATGTATAGGCTCTGTACACCTGCTGGTTTGCACATGGCCGGAGTTTCAAAACGAAACTATTGCAGCAGCTGTAGAAGAGGAAGGATATGCAAAAAAATGGACTTAATTACTGTTGGGGATTCGAAATAATCAAATCAAATCTGTACCCTTCCGGATTTTGTGTTTGAGAGTTGAGCAAGAAAGAAATTCACCACAAATCAAAGATAAAAACTTGTAGGAAAGTAAACAAGAAAGAACACACCAGATTTAACGAGGTTCGGCAACGTGCCTATGTCCTCGGGAGCCACACCACACAATTCTTTGATTACTTGAAGAAGATTACAATGCTTGCAATTGGCCTCTCTCTCTAAGATTTCTAATCTCAAAGTGCCCTTAAAACCCTCTTTTTTTGTGCTCTTTTTCCCTCTTAAATCCTAAAGGGACGTGTTTCTATTTATAACAAAACACAATCTCAAATAGATTAGGATTCTAAAACGAGTCTGTCACACCCTGGTGTGATGCAGACCACACCCATGGCAGACAGGACAGACTCTGTCACACCCTGGTGTGGCGCAGACCACACCCATAGCAGACAAGACAGATTCTACCACACCCTGGTGTGGCGCAGACCACACCCATGGTGCAGACCATACCAATGGTAGACATGGCAGATTCTGCCACACCCTGATGTGGCGCAGACCACACCCATAGCAGACAGGGCAGATTCTGTCACACACTGGTGTGGCACGGACCACACTCATGGCTTGTCTTGAATTTTTCATGCGATTGTTGATTTTGATTTTAGGTTTGGGTCTCCACTCTCAAGACCAACAATCTCCCACATGGAGGTTAAACCACCATCAATGAGTTCTCCCGAACTCCGCCTTCTTCACAAGCATCTTCTCCTACTTGAAAATCCATTCTTCAATCATCAACATCCCGACGATCTCGCCGATCCTCGTAGTGTGGCTCCGCCTTCGTCTTCTACTCGTGAAGGCTAACTGAAGTTGCGCACAACTCCAGTTTTTCAATGGTGACTGTCTTCGTCAACATGTCCACCGGATTTTGACTCCCCAAAATCTTTATCAAATGCAACTTTCCGTCTTTAACTAGCAAGCGTATAAAATGGTATTTGACGTCGATGTCACTAGTGGAAAATCATGTATCGCTGACGGGCTTTCCCGTCAGCGATGCCCAAAATCCCGTCGGTAATATGTATTCTTGACGGCAACCCGTCAAGGATATGCCGTCAGCGATAGTCCCGTCAGGGAAAAACTATCGCTGACGGGGAGCCGTCAGTAATATATATTACTGACGGCATAAGTGGTGACGGCAAAGGCCGTCAGTGATAATGAAACATCGCTGACGGGATTCCCGTCAGCGATGTTTCTCTATCGCTGACGGGGATCCCGTCAGTGACATATGTAACTGACGACAGATCGTCGTTGGTGAACACACGGATGCTGACGGGATCTTCCCGTCAGCGATAGTTTTCGCTGACGGGCTTCTCGTCAATTATGTTATTTACATCGCTGACGGGCTTCTCGTCAGCGATAGCTTTCGCTGACGGGAAGCCCGTCAGCGATAAATATCAGCAGCTAAAAAAAAATCTGTTGAGATATACTCAGTTCCCTGTACATACAATCAATTTTCCCAATTAAACCTCTCATCCAAACAATTTTCACAAACAATCGAAATATATACATTCACTTTCACGATACATACAAATATACGCATTCCAAAACATCTCGCAATGAACACAATCCAAATTTTCCCAATTAATCCTCTCATCCAATCAATTTTCACAAACAATCGAAATATATACATTCACTTTTCACGATAAGTTCCAAATCCATAATAATAAATTTCACAACAAACAATACATATATCATAGATTCTAAATCCACAATATACAAACACGATACTGTCAAGAAGATAAAGAGATGACAGCTTTTGGTCACTGGGAACCTGGAACCAAGAGTAAAATCAGTTGTGGATGTAACATAACTATGATGGTTCACAAGAACAAAGTAGCAAAGCAAAAGATCAGGATTCCCTATATATAAACTACTTCAAGAAAGACAGAAGACAAATAACAACTCAAATTACTTGATATATCATCCATTGTAAAGGTTCTGAGCTAAGAAATAAAGAATGAAATGAATGAATTGGCATCAAAATGAGTGCTTCCAATGAGATATTGCTAATTCTCCACTTATCCCACTCAGAAACAGAAAAGGTTAAAATTCATAAGATATGCAATGTCTTAGAACACCAACATTAGTTAAGTCTATTGATGCCGCTTCCACCTGTCTTAACATCTAGGCAGAATGAGTAGGCCCTTGGAAAAACCAGACATCCTCGATTTGTGCTTCACGCATATCTTAAGTTCTAAATCCACAAAAAATCCCATAACAAACCTGTACACACATATCATAAGTTCTAAATCCACAAAATTTTCCACAATAGACCATACACGCATATCATAATCTCCAATATACAAACACGGGTTTAGGATATAACTCACTAAGATAGGTCATCCGCCCTATCCATGTCATCGTCCGCGTTTCCACTGGCGGATCCATCCCTACGACTCGTGCTCCCAATAGTATCATCTCCAATCTAACAACAAAATAATTTAAATTTAGAATCACATAATATTGTGTGTAATCATGTTTTACATATATAATAAGTATACCTGTCTGCTACTCTCTCCACTACCAGTAAATGCCTTTTGAGTGGCCAAGAAGTTCATAATCTGGCTTTGCACCCGAGTAGGAACCCGCCTTCTACAAGATTTCATTATTTGCCTAGAAACCATCGCAAAAGTAGCAGTAGGCTGGATCACTCGCATAAGCTCCTCTTGAATATCCTCCCACATCTCCTCGGAAATCTGACCATCTAAAATATTCATTACAGAGGAAACAAGCTGCATCGCCTGCTGAGGGCAATCCTCCTGCGGCATGTAAGAGGGCCCCGATAAGAGGGCCCCGAGGGCATAGTCGATGGTGTTGAAATCGGCGAAGACTGGAATTGTGTAGACACCCTCTGAGCTCCAACTCCCATCCACCTGGTCCTCCCTTTTTTAGGAAGTCCACAAACTAAATGGCTCACATTATAATTCTGCTCTCTAGTCAGGGGCTCTTGGCTCTGTGCAACAACCTCAGAATATGTGTTTTCCAGAGCTTCCTAGAAGTCAAAAAAATAAATTTATGAATTAGCTTTTCAAAAATAAAAGATATTTACCTGAACAAGTAAAATAAAAGTACATGTGAAGGGTGTTTTGTGCAACATAAAAGTACATGTGAAGAAGGGTGTTAAGTGCTAATAAGATAATTAGTTAACCTGCATTTTCTTGGCCAATTCTAGCTTTTGTTTCTTAGTCTCATCGTCATCGTACCCCTTCTTAAATTGAACCATCGTTCTCCTGTGCAGTTCTGGTAGTGGGATAAAGGGAGCGTTCTGAGATTTAAAAATATATTTATTAGTTTTATTTATCAAATATTCTAAGAAGCGGAGAGAATATATATAGAATATTAAAAGACTTTATACCGTTGTCCTACAGAATTGTATGAATTGACTTTCACTATTTAACTTTCGTGGGTCTGCCAACGCGTATTGTATGAATTGACTTATTCCATCTTTATATCGACTATCCCTCCATCTATCAATACGAGGAATATCGATCCATGATTTGTCGGGAACTATCCTCATCTGTATGATATTAAGCATAATTAGGTAATGTGAATTTTTATTAGTAACGCATCAAAAATTCAAATTATAATAATCTCGGAGGAAAAATTACCAGAACATAAATTATGTGGGAGTAAAATCTAACGCTCATATTTTCAATAAGAGACTTTAACGGCTGTCATAGGAAATGGACCTATCCCATTAGGAATATAGTAGTGTCTACAACTACCTTCATCATCTTTATGCGTTTTTACTTCTTAAAAATTTCGGCAGCACCTACCCGCTGTTCTCCGAGTACACTGTGCGGATGTTATAATGCGTATCAATCATCGATAATAGATAGATTATAAATCGAAACGCAAAACAACATACGCTTATTGTACACGGAGAACAATGCGGGACGTGTTATCAAAATTTTATGGGAATAAAAATGCGTAAAGTTTACAAAGATAGACGATACACTACTGTATTCCTAACCTGTACGAGAAGGGGAATCCTCCCCGGACAGATCTAATAATTATTGCATGTAGAGCATACTCCTAACCTGACTCGTCAGCATCCTCGGCATCTTCAGATTGATCTATATTAGGAACTGTTAACATATCCGTGAGCATCGTATGTGTATCATCTATTCTCGTATCATCTATTCTCCCACCGGACGTACCGGTATCCGCCATCAGTTCCATTTCTTCAAGGCATCCTTCCCCATGAAACGTCCAATATTTGTACTCCTCATGAAATCCGGATATTAAGTGTTTTTGTAAATCACTTTTATCCACC